ATCTTCCCATAAGATTATATGCATGTTATTTACCTGTAAAATCCTCCCTTGTGTAGACATGCAAAAGTACCAAGACTACTGCTGGGTGCCTTAATCTTGTAAATAATGTTGGCAGCCCCAGCAGATTCAGAGCGGTCACTCAAGTGACACTCTATACCATTCCCCTTCTCTCCTTCCCTGGCAGATACATAAAAGTTGATGCAGGGAAATAAGGAGAGGGGCGGAGGAGCTGGGCCAGCATAATGAGTAACTAGAAACTCCCAGATGTGGAGAGGGCTATGATGTTTTAAAAGGGAGAGGGCAGTGCTTGGAAATTGACTCTCCTGTAGTAGTCAAAGTTTCTAGCAGGTTCAAATGCACATTGAAGAAGAAAAAGAAAAAATGATGTAAAGGAAAAAACACTGCAAGTAAACATTCAAAACACTTTATTTTTCTGTGTTTTACCTGTAATTTCTGTTAAGTTGCTGACTGGGTCACTTTAACCCAAACAAACCCTAACTTTAAATCTCCAATTAACCCCTTAAAAGCTGAACTGGTGGCCGTCAGAGTGAGGATATTAAGTAGCTGGAAAAAGTACTCGGGAGGGGGGGGCGGTTTAAATGTAAATATTGCAGCAGGGCTATCTATGCTGCCACTGGATGGATTTCCCCTTACTTCCTGTACCAGTGACACTGTCCAGCTGGATCACAGATAGCATTAAAAACCTGAAGTTACCGTTCGTCCCACTCTACTTCGAAGAACAGAACTGTAAATGTGTCAAGAAACCCTAAGCAAATTCGGGTAAACTCTGTATTGCTATTCCCCTATAAACCCAAGCCTGACCCACTTGTGACACCTGTCTAATGCTTCCACATCCCCACTATACTGACCCAGTGTAGGTCTTGTAGGCAACTGTCAATGTCCTGTTATATGCAGCAAGTCCCAGATGCCAACAGTCGACTGCCGGGCTACTCAGGCAGCAGGATCCAGTCAGTGCCTCCACTTTACAAACAGCAGTGGTGAACAAGCGGAAGAGAATAGTCAGTTTTGAGACAAGGATGGAGACAACAACTGGGTGCAGAAAATCATTTCAGGTTTAAAGGGGGTTTAGGCTTGTGGAACAGCAACCCAAAAGTGAAAGAGGTTATCTGACAGATGTCTGCTTCAAGATTAAGGAGTAGATCTTTTTAATGTCTGATTGTTTTCTCACATCTACAAGATGTGGACCAGGGTGTCAATAACATGGAAGAAAGTCTGTCATCCACTTCTCCTTTAAAAAAGGCCTACATGTTTGACTACAAAACCTGTACACATGCCCCCTACACAAAACTACTGACCGGTGGTGGTCTTCTCCCTCAACCTCCTACCAATTGGTTATCTAACATGAGTCACAAAGCATTTGAAGGCCACTTTCTCTTGAAGTACCCTAGTTGTTTTCCAAAATGGAGCGGCGTAGTCTTGTAAATCACTTGGAAACAAATGGGTTCAAGAAATAAAGGTGGGCAATGCTAGAAAATAACAATATACTCCAAGAGGAAGTATCCTCACGGCTGCTTCCAAGAGCTGATCTACAGGGGTGGGTGACTGAAGAAGCCATGGACACCAGACAGACTGATTAAGTACAGGAAATGAAAGACTTTGAGGAAGAGCTATCCTTTAAGCATTCTGCTACATTTTGCTCAACCTTGCGGCTTCCCTGCACAGTTATAGAAGTTGCCCTGGAATCAGGGCTTGGCAGGAAAGGAAGATTCTATGCCCAGCCTTGCACACAAGGGGTTAATACAGCTAGCTTCAGGGAGAGGAGGAGATGGTAATTTTGGAGGTTTTTCGAGCCCTCCTGGTGAGGAACGGAATTGAACTTAATAGAAAATAACAGCGGCTTAATTGATGCCATATGTTTCAATAACGCCAACAAGTAACTTCACCTGCCAAAGAGCTGGGGAGGAGGGGGTTGTTTCAGAATTAATATCCAAAGACCCTTTTGTGTTGATGTGACCAAGCTAGGAGTGCAGCATTTTGAATGAACTATACAGGGTTTAATACAGCAGTACAGTACAAATTATTTCACACAAGCATGGATGCACCACTATAAACAGTGGTGGTGTGACTGTACCAAAGAACAAGCCTATGCACTGAACACAAAACCCAATATACTTACCCCATCAGACCTTAAGCAGCACCTAAAGTGTTAGTATATGAGATAAACAATAGGTAGTGGCAGAGCAAGCACCAGAAGCTGCCATATCATTTACAGTATAGTGAAATCAGTGAAATCCTAGAACCATTAAAGCTCATTGAAAGGGATCATTCAGTAATATTCACACCCAAATCTTTAGTTTTCTACATATACAGGAAGATCTACATAAATATTTGCATAGATAGTTTTCACAGGACAATAAATATAGATCGGCACACCCAAAACTTTGCTTGAGGGTTGAAGGCAGAGTGCAGGAGAGGCAATGAATGCAATAGGCAAAGAAAGCCTTATGAGTAATAGTACCAGGATTTCAAGTACAGAGCACTTTGTACCGCGTACAATAAAGAACTCCAGAGCTGCTAGATCTATCTCTTTACAGCTATATCTTAGCTGGCTGAAGCATACAGTCACAACTGGTACTTTCTAGCCTCGGAGTAAATTATGTGGTTCCTCATTAGTTCCACATGAAATCCTAGGATTGATCTGAAAATAGATTTGTAATTATATTCTGCCAGGGGTTTAAAGGGCCATATAAAGTTGAACACCACTGCAGCTGCTGTACAATAAGTTCCAGTTTGCCTGCAGGATAAAAAAAAAACCTGGAACTTAAAGCAGAACTCCAGGCCAATAACACGTTGGTCCATATTTAAAGAACTTCCCATAATCTCATGCACACCAGAATTATGCTGTGAATGGGTGTGCCGGTGTTCTATCGAAAGCTCCAACTCATCGGCATCTCATTTCGATAGAACACCGGCACTGGAAGTCAATGAGATTCTAATGTGAAGGAGACCCGTGTTAATCAAACATTCTTTGCGGCACTGGAAGCTTGAGGTATTAAGGCAGATTACATATGTGAGAGAACACTGGATGGATCCCAATGTGGTGGTACTAATGCATAGTCCTAATGGGGTGAATGTGGAGCAGGCCACTGCAGGCTGACTTTATAGTGTAGAAGGGGTGAAGGAAATCACAAGAGTGACTGAACTCAACTAAATATGCCAACATGCATAAATGTTCACATTTTGACTGTGCAGTGAGAGGTTTGGCTGGGGTTATAGCTGCGCTCACCCAAAACCTAAAAAAAACCTAGGGAAAGCTGCAAACTAGTAGTGGTAGTGAAAGTAGATCACATTGAGATGGCAATGTGAGACCCCCCAATCTGTGTCCTCTAGAAGCTGGCTGAATTATGTGATTGTTCCATGCAACACTTCCAACACACATACATACGTACGGTACGTACAGGCTGATCACATCACATGTTTTTTTTCCACTGTCATTTGGAAGGGCACATTATGCAATGTTTTTTATACCAACAGATCAATTTTTCCTGCATCTGTCCCCACTGGGAAGAGTTTCCCTCCGGGCAGAACAGGAAGTCCCAGTGACAACCATTGCGAACCTCTTCCTAAAATACTAAGTGCCTGCTTGTCATGCCAGTTCATCAGGTTTACTGCATTGAATGCAAGTGTTAAAAAAATTAAAACCTCCATAATTCCCACAATACAGGTTTCCCTAAAGGGATAATATAATTTTTTTTTTCTGTTTGCATACTTTTTGTTTCATAAAACAAAAATTAATAGCTCGCCATAGAATAAAAATGTAAAAAAAGAGATTATTTACATCTTTAAATCATGGTGGGTAGCCAATACATTTACAAGCAATGCCCGCTTCACAATTTACTGCATTAATGGGAACATACGGTAAAAAATATTAGTTCTTGTTCACATCATGTCTGTTGAGCTGCTTTTTCCGTATAGTGTGAACAGGGAAGATTGTTTTCCATCTGCCTTATTCACTCCATACACGTGTGGTGGTGTGCACAAAAACCCAGGTCAGCAGACATGGTGTAAACAAGCCCTAGAACAAACTAGCAGCTTTAGCAGCCAGCTATCCAGAGCTCACCTATAGTACCTATGCAAATACCAACATACTATTTTGTAGAGCTCCTCGCTTACCTTGTGGCAATGCAGGTTGGCCAATAGGTAACAGGCACCGAGCATTGCTAAATGTAGGTGGGGCAGATGTGCCCATTCTACACAAGTGGAATTACTTCAGGAGAGCCAAAAAGAAAGCTGCCAATGAACTGCATTTCTTTTTCCTCACACGTTGGCTTTAGTGACTTACTTTCCAGTATAGTCAGAATTGCAATTTCTGTATCTTTTGTATACCTCTAAAATGTCTGGATAATATAGTCTCAATAGTAAAGGACTGGCCCAGTATGACATCAATAAATGAAGCCTCTCTTTCTAAAGGCAAAAAGAAAAGGTCAGAACAATGCACAGCCATTTACTGACTTGAGGTATTCATTCCTGTTTTAAAACTGCAGCACGCTACAGTTTTGGTCCTGCATGTATGTACCTATTTACACTGATAGCCAAGGGGAAGCAGATTACAATGCAGAATCAATGTGCAGTCTTAATTTTGTTTTCAACAGAAAAACAACCTAAAACAGAAAAGCATGTCAATTGCAGAGTCCTTAATTTCTTCACTGTTTATATATTTTTTTTAACTTCATGTGTAGTCAACAATGTATACACTCCATTGTATGCAGTGGCATACAGCAGTCTGCAATAAAATGCAGAATGTTTGCATTGTATCCCAGCACACCACCCACTGTGGTGTGAACAGGACACATAGAAAACAATTGTTTTCTATGTGTCCAAAACTGACCTGTGTTGATCCTACGCAATACAGCATAGGATCAACACAGGTTGATCTGACCGTGTGTGTGAACGTGTCCTTGAAGCATAACAAAAACATATTCCAAAACACATAATTGATTAGGATCTGTTATCTCTGAAACTGTTCCTTTTTCACTCACCGGATATAGTCGTTTCTGCACAGGATCATCCCGCTTTTTGTGTAACATGAAGTGCCAATTTCCCCCAGCTGAGCCTGGCAGCAGGAACACTTCAGGCACCGAGTGTGCCAATAACGATCCATGGAATACAGAAGGAACCTGTCGGCAATTTTCCCCCCACAGCCGGCGCAGGCTTTGGGAGGGGAAGTATTACTGGTGACCGACGTGGTGCTTTCTGATGTCCGGTTATTCACCATTCCTGATTCTGCAAAAGAACAAAAAAAAGAGGGGAACATGATTAAATGCGGTTCCCCAAACCTGTGCGGCCGAGCTGCTCCGCGGCTGTAATTCTCCTGTTACAGTTTACACGGAAGCATAAGTGATTGAAAGAAGCACTTTGCTCAAGCACCAGAAAATAGCTTATTATACAGATATCCCCTGAGAGCACAGCTAATCACCCTTGTAGCAGCTTCCACAACCCACTCCAAGCAACTTGTACTGCCTGGAGCGGCAAACCTCTAGCATGTAACCCATTACAATGTACTGCTGCCATCTTGCCAAGAGGCTGCGGTATGACTGTATCAAGGCCTACATGGCTGTACAAGAGATGGCAGGAGGGCCACACTTTAAAGGATAGTTCTAATGGATAAAAGAGGATAATATATTAAAATAAGGGGTTGTTTGAGAAGCCTCTCTTCGTTTATTTTCCTAGCAATAAGAGAAACAAGCAGTGTAGACACCCTGAGAAATTTTGTGTTTGTGTCCACACCTCCATTTGTTTTTTTAAAAACGGACAGTTCAGGTTAGAGTGGCTTAAGACAGTTATATATTTCCAAGAGAACAATGGAAAGGAAGATATCTGCCTGACTTTGGGTGGGAGAAGGGATGAATACCAACTTAGGATATTCTCCCCGTTGGGGAGACTTCCCATCACTTTCTCTCCTGGTCTGCTGTAGTCAGTGTTTGCAGTGAGAAGCTGCGAGGAGAAATTGTCTATAAGGACACACAGTAAGACAACGTAATGGAGGTACTAACTCTTCCCTATCCCAAACAAAAATGCTTATGACTGAAGCTTCAGTTTAAAGACAGTCTATATTATAAATGCAGTGCATGCCACTTTTAAAATACAACAAGCATCATCTTGGAATATGCAAAAAGGTGAACAGTCAAGTAAGGAATACTAGGGCATTAGTCACTTGGTCTCTCTCATTAAGAAGGGGTTCACTGTTCAGGTAAAGGTGCTGCCTGGTCTGTCATGACTGAAAGTCTCTCTGGCAGATCAAAAGGTCTTCTGGTCATATGGCTTGGGGCCAAAGGGAGCCCAAGTTCTGTAGGTCCTGTTTTATTGGACTTCCCTACTAAGAAGCTGTGCATAGAGTACTGCATATGCTTCCCCTGGGATTTGTGTCCCTCAAATTTATGAATATGGGTCTACCTTCTAATGGGCCAAGAAGAAACAGTTGACAAGTTTGGCATATTAACCTTTATGAAGTCCTAAACACCAGCAAAAGAATAAAAAAGCTTTGAAGTAGGTCTTGAGCCAAAGGGTTTCTTTTAGTTGTGTAACGTGTAGAAAATGGCTAAAAACCATGTCAGGTTCTGTTTCCCACTGGAAAGATATCCCTTAACTTCCTGTCCCAGAGACGCATCAGGAAGTAAAAGGAAACCTCTGTTAAGTGAGAGGAAATTCTAAGATTGCTAAGCATTTCCTCATTGTCCCCATAGGTAGCACAGCCAATGCCCTCGTTTACCTGTATAAATACTGAGGGGGGGTGTCATACTTTGAGACCTGTCATATGAAAACAGATCACTTGAATTGCGCAATTCACAGCAATCTGCCACCAGATTCCAACTGTTCCCAGTTTCAGGGGTCCCAATAATTGAAGATGGGGTTAACCTCTTTAAGTGGAGTATCAATGTGCACCCCATATTTTTATCTGTTTTCTATCAATAGCTGAGGGAATCTTCTGAGACTGCTCAGTGTATGATTAGGATGGATTCCATTGGAAATGTCCTAGCGATAAGTTGTCATGTAGCCCCGATTGCTACACTCTGCTACACCATACTTCAGGTCATACATAAGACTCCATCGTTTTGAAGCTTAGCATCTGATTGGTGATATCTGAACAATTGTGCCACAGTCACCATTTAGGTATTCAAGCAGCCGCAGAATACAATAGCCGGCAGCAGGATAGGGGAATTAGTGTGAATGGAGGATTTGAGTGCTTCTCTATTGTTCAGAAAAAACTAGACGTGTATGGGCAGTTTAAGATATACAGAGCTATTCACTAAAGGGGGAAGAGTTTGGAGAAGTGAACAATCTAGGACAACATAGCTGAACTGGAAAGTGAACTGAATTGGAGAATTTTTCCAAATCAGCTATTTTGGCCTAGATTGTTCTCCTGCCTTCTCCAAACTTTTCACCCTTTAGTGAATAGCCCTGATAGTGATCGTTACCAGGAGCTGAAAATAATGATCGTTCCTGCAAATAATATGTGCGCTGTAGCCTTGTGGATTATGAGGACCTTGATTGTAAAGGAGCATTGTAATATGAACAGCTGCCAATTATCCAACCAAATGGCAATTATAACCAAATAATTGCCATGTGAGTCCGGCCTCTAATTAGTCAGGAATCCTTTACATCAGTGTTTTATTTGTGTGCTGCACTTGCGCTATTCTTCAGGGCGCTAAAAGGAGTGTGCAGTCCAAGTTAAAGGAAGCCTGTTGTGACACAGATAACGGAGTCTGCCTTCGCTAAACTTCTTTTGTAAAATGCCCAGCCATTTCGTTTTAATGAGCATCACACTAATCAAGTATGGTGATCAAGAGTTTTTGCTTCCCTTGCTACCTGCTTGTTCCAAGTAGGGCAGCCAAACAAATAGCATTGTCAGGAGGGTCAACAGTAGCATATTTCCTTTGAGAGGTTCCCGGTCATATATATATATGCCTCTGTACATGGATGGAATTCTCTTCTTTTGACTGTTTAGTTGGAAACGCATTTAATCAATCCAAAAATGTAATTACCATTTCTTCCCTTCAACGAGGTAAAAAGCATTTTGTGTAATATAACACTTACATAGCATATCACTGCACTTCCCAGGGCAGCCACAGGGTGCTGCCAAACTTCTGAACCAAGCTAGCATGTACACATGTATTTATGGGCCCTTTCAGGGCTTCTGTAGGTTGTCCAGGGCCAATTATCACGTAATTCTTAGTGGCCAATCCCCACGTTACAGAGTCGCCCTTCAAAATGGCCAAGCTTAAGGTAGATTTGCAGCATCAGGAAAGGCATTCAGATTGAAGATTGTCTCCTTTACACGAATTAAACAGATTGTCGCTGTTCTCCTGCCTGGTAATCCTCGGCCAGATGTGATAACTCCCTAATTTAGCCATGGCTTACGGCCTGTTACCCAAGATGTGTGTCCCTGTGCAACGCCAACGGACCTTAGCTGTAAATCGTACTTTTTCCACAAGCTAATAGTAGGCTTTAAACCTTTTATAGTGGGCTCCAAACAGGGCAGGGTGTTTTGGGCGATGGTTGCTATGGGGCAGGCCGACAAGTGGTTAAAAGCAATTGACACCAAAAAGGTTTTAAAAAGGTTTGCTCCGACTTCGCAAAAAGATAGCTCAGTGACAACAGATGGGTTAATAAGTTGAGACCAGTTAGTAGGAGTTAAGAATCGAGGATTTTCTAGTGTATAACATGCCAAATAAGGGGTCAGGGAAACCTTGGGCATTGGTACTTGGAAACTACCCAGAAGATGTACTATTGTTGTACAGCAAGGTCATGGCACCATGTTAAGTACTCTGGAGGTACCAGGGATGGGAGAAAAGTGATTAGTCAGGAGTCCATCCCTGTCTACCACTAGCCACTGGTGTCAAGTCAAGACATAACTCAATCCCCAGTTTGACAGTTATCCCTGACTATGGACTGTTATCCGACCTACTACAGTTATCATGCTTTGTTTACATTGTTGCCAATTCTTATTTTATTGTGTATATAGTGCAGACAAATACTACAACATTTCATGTAGACATTTACATCAATATTTGCCCTGTGGCAAAAAAAAAAAGTTTCCAATTCTACGTTTTTGTTTTTAGATGGGAGAAAAAAAAAAAGCTGCATCCGGAGGAAATCCACACAAACAGAGAGAACATACAAACCCCATGCAGATTCTGTTAATGGTAGGGCTTGAAATCAGGAGCCCATCGCTGACACCAGCTTATGAAGTTTAAGGCTCCATACATTATAAAGGCTTGCAGTTTGCTTCTTTAATGAAATAAGCCTGTTTACCTGGCTCAATTACTCACCAGCAATGACTTTTCCCTTATTGACGGGTCTGATGTTTCAATCAAACAAGCAAACCCTCAGGGCAGGTTCACGCCATTTTCTGGACCAGATCTGGTCCAGAAAATGGTGTGAACCTGCCCGCAGTTCCAGTGCATCCCAGACCAGACAAAATGAGACATGCAGTATTTTTCTGGTCTGGTCTGGGACCGACTGCGCTGGTGGGAACAGAGGCCAGAAATAGCATAGGGATGCATTAGAATGCATTTTGGGTCCCGAAACAGTCTGGTGTGGTCTGGAGATGATCTGGATGTGGTGTGAATGGGCCCTTAAAGCAAGCAGCTCTGCTGAGCCCTCTTTCTTTTAAAAAAACCCTAGTACTCTGGGTATCCCTTGTCATGCATGGAATTTGTGTGTGTGTGTGTAATGTATATATATATATTTTATATAAAAATAAATAAAAATAAATAAAACTGACACAAAAACAAATATAATTTCCCTTTTATCAGATATCAGTTGCAGGCATAGTCTTCCTCATCCAGTCCCCAACGTTACCAGCCAGACACGATGTTGGTGCTGTAGAGGACTCCCCAACAATTGGACATAGTTAGACCTGTCCATACATTGTTCTAACCTGAAAACATTTTCAAACTTGTCACCGTAACAGCTCAGCTCACATTACACTCATCTGATTTTGTGCTCCTACAAATCTGTCTGAATCGATCACGTCGTATAAACATTTGTGCCCACAAACCTTTGGTAGGAAGAGCGGTTTCACAATTTTGCAATGTATGCATATTGTATGTTTGTGTCTGCCTGTAAACTGACCAATCTCCAATTTTGAAATACAAAGGATAGATGGTCCTGGTAGTAATGTACTCATGATAACATCCTGATTTGGATGACTATGATTCATCCAAATCAGGTTCCTTTTTACGGAATAAATGGAGTGATCCTTTTTGGGCGATATCATTTTAGCATGCTGGAAAGCATTATAGTTATGCGGGGGTCTTTTATTGCTCATAAAAGCTCACTGTAATTCCTGACTGCCCAATTATCGCTAGCTGGGCTCGGATTGTTGCACTGCTGAGGAAATTCAGGCTTCAAGATCTGTTAAAATGGTCACAAGTTACAATCTGATTGTACAATCTCCATTAGCCTGATCAACAGCTGCAGAGGGCAAAGCCTACCAGTTATGAACCGAACCGGTCCTTTCTGGCGCTTTTTCTTCTACATACGAACCGATAATTTGGTTAACGCTAAATAGTTGTTTGCAAATTGCAAATCAAAGAAGAACATACAATTGGGTTGTGATACATATGGCCAACTTTAGGCTGCTCAACAACCAACTGATTACACTCCAACAGCTATTGGTACATAAACAGCCACTCTGTATGGGCTTAGTGTCCCCAACAGCTTTTGTAGGCTGTGACATTTCATACATATAGTTGTATGGTTATTTCACAGCTCTGCTTTTCTTACTAAGTTCTAAAAAACTCCCAGAAGCCATTGTGAATGTCTTCATTGGTCCAAACCAACCACAATAATGTTACATGGAGTTAACCGGGCCATTCTGCAAAAGCCAAAAATAGCTTTGCCTTGTTCCCTCAACTAGACATGAACACAGGTTGGCCAAGTGTCCTCATTAAAACAGATGTTGGTAAACATATTGCCAGCACCTATTAATAAAATGGGGCAAAATGGTCACCTCTATGCCAGATGTGTACAAAGGTTTACAAAGATGGTGCAAAATTGTTCCTCAACTAAAGTATTTTATTTTAATTTCTTTCCTTTTCAATAGTCCATTAAGAGCGGTTAAACATGACTTAGATCCAAATCATGTTTTGCATTTTTTTAGACAGACCATTGAGAACTGGTATACATTAGATCCATAACTGTTTTTTAATCTTTTGTAGACAGACAATTGAAAACTGTTATATTAGATTCATAACTGTTCTGCATTTTTTGGAAATAGACCATTGAGAACTGTTATTTATTAGATCCATAATAGTTTTTGCATTTTTGTAGACAGACCATCGGGAACTGTTATATATTACATCCATAATTATTTTTATTTTTTTAGTTTTTTAGATAGACAATTGAGAACCGTTATATATTAGATCCATAGCGATTTTTGAATTTTGGTAGACAAACAGAGGACTGTTATATATTACACCCATAATTGTTTTTGCATGTTTTTTTCTTACATAGACCATCGAGAACTGTTATATATTATATCCGTAATTGTTTTTGCATCTTTACTGCTTGTTAACTAGGTAGGACAGCACTTAGCAAATTTACAAACTCACAACAGCTAAAGGCGTATTCCATAAAGCAGGGATCGATGTACAAAAAGGCAATAACATATAGCAACCAGACTGTATTTCTGGTTGCCAGTGCTGATTGGCTGCTAAGGGGTACTAGTAATAAATTGCACATCACTGTCTTATAGAAGGCAATTTGTGAAAGAAGGCTCGATTTTCTCATTTCAGACACAGTGTACTTTATAAGTATATACTCAGCATGTTGGACACAAAGCAATGAAAGGATTTAAACATTTAATATTTTTTTTATGTCACCAAAATTATTTCTAATCACACCGAGTGCAGACTGGAAGGCTATGTTGCATTTAAATGAAAGGGTCCCCCATCCCCCTGGTGTATCGGGTCTCTTACACTCACCATTTAAATGCCAAATTCCTTGCAGTTACCCCGGGTGCCTATGGCAAATTCCCCTCTTTGCCCTTTTATTGAAGCACCCAAGTCCTGTATCAATATAGATCGCCTTGTAACAATCATACTGGTTAGCCCTGGCTTCTACAAAAACAGTGTTCCAGTTGCAGATGTACTGGGCACCTCTGACTGCCGGCATGCCAAGAGTTAAACACTTAGGGATTTCGGTACAATTGCCCCATTATCTCCTTGTTTCTCAGCCTGCGTGAAACAGTTGCAGCTGCTTGTGAAACACAAGAAGGGATGTATAGATTCCCATTCCTGGCAGGAGAAGCTAGACTCTTCTCCCAGCTCCCTCAATCTTTCGAAATAATTACAAGCTTCAGGTACAACAGTTAGCATGTTTACAGCGCCAGCTCTGTGGTCACTTTACCTCTCAAGTGGCGCTGCCTGTAAAAGGCTCGGGATGACCCCAAATGTGTCAGTTGCTATAAAAACGTCATAATTTTTTATAATGTTTACCTATACATACAAAGCAACAAAGTTTTTTCTTAATGTATGCCACAATAACCGCGCCAGCAAACGCACAGCAACTTCATCAGTAAAATGACGCCAATGTTTTTATTTTCTCTAGGTAAAAAAGAAATGGTTGGATAATTTCCAGCATCCTGGAAAATGATTCCAGTCAACAGCAGTTTATTTACTGCATGTGCATGCTCATTGCTGAGTGACTCTATGTGCTCACTGTTGGATTATTGTTATCAATGATGACTATTTACTAGGCAGAAGGGGCAATATTATAGCAATTTCACCACTTTCAAGCAGCTTTGATGGAGAATGAATCACGCCAGCACCAGTTTATATATTTAGGAGGTAGAAGTGTTGCTGTTTAGTTATTTTTGTCATCGAAACCTGCTAGAAAAACGCGGTGGCCCCAGACCGTGCAAGTGGTGCTCCAATTCACACTACTTTCAGATATCAGACGTGCGTTATAGACTGCGCATGGCGACAGTTTGTGTTTGCAAACGTTCTGGAGCATCTTTTCTGTAAGTGAGCCCCAATCTTTCCTTTTCTATAGAGAAAAGGTAAAAGGGCATCCCACTGGACAGGCAAATGTTTCACCGCACCATCACTCCCAGAGGAAACCTATGGCCAACCTAAGGAGCTTATTCAATGAGCTGGTGGCATGAGCAAAGATGAGCAGTAACCAACAGCAACCAAAGTGCATTAGACAGAACAATGGATGATACATTGGTTACTGCATCTTGTTTTCTTTACCTATTAAAGTGTTTACTGGTTTACTGATTCTTTGCTTGCAAACAGAGTGGAATGTACTAACAATACAATATTGCTCTTTTTCTGTATTAAAGTGTTTACTGTTTTACTGATTCTTTGCTTGCAAGCAGTGGAATGTACTAACAATACAACATTGCTCTTTTTCTTTAATAAAGTGTTTACTGTTTTACTGATTATTTGCTTGCAAGCAGAGTGCAATGTACTAACAATACAGCATTGCTATTTTTCTCTATTAAAGTGTTTCCAATTTTACTAATACAACATGCATCTCCTTATCTATTGGAACCATCAGCCTGCATCCACACCCTGCTTCATTCAGTCTTTTGGAGGTCTATGACAAAGTTAGGACAAAAACCTCGGAATGCAACTCTGTTTAGAAATCTTTAAATCCAGTTTATCTCTACCCTCTAGATCTATATATAGACGGCACTCATGCGCCACACAGCATACAGGACCTGCCAACTTTGTGTATTTTAGGTCACAAGCTGCACGTTGTCACCCTACACATTGCCAGTGTACACAACCATAAATACAATATGAAACATCATCCTCACAGGGATACATTGCAAATGAGTCCCTATACGGGCCAGCTGTGAAAGCTTACAAAGTCAGCAGCTACAAGTCTTTAATATTTCGTAAAAAGTGCCCAACTGAATGCACAAAGCTAATGAGTGAGCCTGGGCGATCCTTACCTGGGAGTTGATCCTTCTTTTCTCACGAAGTGTCAGTTAGATCCACTAGATCCCAAAGGCTTCTTGCACTGACAAGATTCGACAGTCCCAGCACACACAGACACACAGACAGGCTCTTAGGCTCCAGCAGCACAAGAACTCTTCTACAAGGGAACATCCACTGAACGCAGCTGCCTGCGAGCTTCTGTCTATATAACTAGCACGTGACGTCACCAGCAGCCCCAGTGAGCTGCCAATCCAGCTGCAGAGGGGACGTGGCCAGTGTCAAAAAGATAGATGGACATTTAAATAGTTAAAGGGCCTCTTTCCTGCCCTCATCAGGCTCCTTGTGTAATATTTCTAGAGCAATCACCCTCTGCTGCTGCTGCTTCTTCATCCTCCTCTTCCTCTCCATCATTTCTATTATCATAATAATAATTATATTGTCACATGAAATGAATGAGTGCTATCACTGCCAGCTGACTATAACACTCCCTATTACACAATCATTACTTGTAATATTGCATGGTATTGTGTATATATATATATTATTATTTTTTTACTATGTGCGCATTAGTATTCATAGGATTCTGGGTGTCTGTTATGAATGCATTATTAGTATTATGACTCTAGCAGCTAAAAACGATTGCGCCTTAAATATTGCTAATGAGAATTTTCTGGTATTATCATTAGCACATGCTAAGAACAATTTACAACACTATCAGCCCTGTAGTGCTATGTCATTTTTATACAAATTATATTTCTTTTTTTCAGGATTTTCAAATCAACCCGTTCATTTGCTAATCAGTATAAAAATTAATATTGTTATAAGGACGGAGAAGGTAGTAAATGACTTTGTGATACCGTATAACATTTTATGGGTATTTATTTTTTTATTACTTTTATTTTTTTTAGGTTATTTTATTAATTTCCATTTTTTTTCTCTTCTTTATGGTTTACAATATAATATGTTCGTTGGCAATAAAATAATGTAATACTTAAATAAGTTTAAAAAAAAAATGTAAAACATAATTTATGGCAATATAAACAACAAATGCAGTAACCTAATGTTTGTGGGTAATATTGTTTTTTTTACAAATGTTTATATTTTGGTTTTAATAAGGAAGGATATTTTTTTAATTGTATTTACATTTGTTGATTTAGTGCATGCATGTATCTATTACCATACAGGGTTAAAATCCTGTTTTAAAAAGAGTCGTACAAGCGTAACAATTTTTTAAGAGTTGCAAATTAGGTCTTTTGATCCAAAGCTTTCTACTTCCAGAAAACAAAAGAGGAGCCCAAATTTTACTACCGTGAGGTAATGTGCTATCAGATGGTGCCTTGCCTCTAAATTTAGTTCTATGGCTGAAAAGTTTTGGCAGTAGGGTGAGACCAGAGTTTCTCTACCTGCAGTAGTTGTACTTTGAAGGATTCTTTGGGCAGGTTCAGTGGATAGTTCTGTCTGTTAAAGCAGAATTCTGGCTGAAACATTTTGTGTTTGTGTTAGCTAACCTGTAGAAAGTTTAGAAGCCCCTGGTAGGTTTTTCTTGCTGTCTGTAATCGATTTGGGGGGAATTTGCCCTCATTCCCTGTCCCAGTGACCACACAGAAAATGATGGTGGTTCTAATGCCTCCCCACTATGTCCACAGCTAAGATATTCATTTTGGCTGAAATGGGGCTTTGAATTGAACCTGGAATAACAATTTGAAGTTTTCAATAGAATTTATTACAGGCATTTCTATAGCGCTGATAATGTTCACAGCACTTTACATATTGTACATTCACATCAATCTCTCAAATTGCTTGCAGTCCATCCAAGGTCCCCATGGTTTCCCGTGCATACATACACATTTGTTTTTCCAAGCTCCACAGTTCATGCATTGTATAACTCCTGTGAGCATAAAAGTGAGGCATGAAATCACACCACACAAAAAAAGTGCACAAGGGTGCTGTAGTCCTCTGAAGAGGAAGGGCCTCAAATCCCTGAACAGGGTGCAAGGCACCTGACAGAGACAAGGTACAATAGAGACAAATTTAGACAGGAGCCAATGGACCTTTAGGCATGTCTTTGGAGTGTGGGAGGAAACAGGAAACCAGGGAAACCCAACCAAGCACAGGGAGGACATAAAAATCCATGCAGATTATGTCCGCTTGCAGGGCCGGATTTACTCTCTCTGCTGCCCCAAGGCCAGTTTCCTCAATGCGCCCCCCTACCCGCCAAACCCCAATGGAGAATGGCAGACCTGCATGCTGCATACAAGTGATCTCAGAAACATCGCCGAGATCACTTGTACAAAACAAGCAACAGTTTCCCTGTTGTACATTTAGCTCTGCTTGCCCAAAGCAGGGCTAAATATAGAGAAAACAACTACCCGCCCTGCGCCCGGAACTACATGTCCCGGGCGTCGGGAGATAGGAATTCCACACCCCTGCTGCCCCTCTACTCCCTGCTGCCCTGAGGCCGGGCCTTGGTTGGCCTTGTGGGAAATCCGGCCCTGCCCTGTTGGGACTGGGACATAGATAAATCAATGACCTTCAACCAAGGTCATGTATATTCCTGAATTTGTCACTTAACATTTCCAAGGACTTTTTTTTTCATGCAAAGTTTGTAGTCCCAATATATCATGTAATAGGAAAGCAAATACAAAGTTAGATAAACTTTTTCGTTTAATAAATAAAATTTGACTAAAAGATTGCAACATTTGAATAGGCGGGGAGGACTCGAAGGCACCACAGATACATGATGACTGTTTCCAATTCGGCCAGTTTTGGGATCTTTTGTAGCCATCGATATACTGGTGAACTGGTCTCTAAAGATAAGTCTTCCTACAACATTGATTTCTTATATTAGGAACTATAGAAAGGGGATATCTCTAATAGAATTTCCATCTGAATCCAATCATTATGGCCATCCAAAAGTCAACTGATAGTGTCATCTCCTCAAGTGATGTCTTCACAATGTACAACAAATATACAGGATATATATAGGGAGACTGGCTGTGAAGGATTACACCTTTCGTATGGGTTTGTGGGAAAGGTGAAGACACAAACTGATGCTGAGTAATGTCACCAATCAGGTCTTTGAGAGATGTAAGAAGTCAGCAGCTAATTCCACCCAGAGCCAAGCTGACCTTTAAAGTTTATCTGTACCCATTTATCTGTACTTTATGGGAGGCGGCAGTTGCAAATTAGTGCACCCTGATCAGTGTTTTAGAAGATAACTGAGGCTATAAAGGTTTGCAACCAGCACTACCTGTAACCCCAGGGATATTTCTTACCATTCAAGGGTACTCTTGTCTGATAAAAAAAATAACAGTATTCAGATATAAATCAATGATTGTCAAGTATTTCTTGTCATTTAATATATGGTGGATCCCCTGGGCAATATTTATGCACAAAAATTATGTGGCAGTAATTAAGGTATGTATATCAAAGGACATAAGATGACTATAACCAGGGGGTACTTGATAAACATTGACTCTAATAAAGTGGTGCATACGTTAAAGCAGGGGTAGTTCAACTATGGCACTCCAGCTGTGGTGAAACCACAAATCCCATTAGGCATTGCAAGATAGGCATGACTCACAGAGGCAGATGAATAATGGGATTTGTAGTTTCCTCAGAGCTGGAAGGCTGAAGTTTGGCTACCCCTGCTCTGAGGCCCCAATCACAAAGGGTGTTCTGGCATTGATGATTGTCCCTGGACACATCTTTTCTGCGTCCAGCAACTATCATCTGTCTCAAACCATATGTAATCATACCATGTAGGAGAGATGCAGTTGCTGTCACCCTGTCATTTACTTTATGGGTACAAGGGCTGCATCTGAATGATGACACCTGGGATTTGAGATCCGTAGGTTCTTACTGCAGGAATCTTAGAAAATGGTATGTGTGAATGGGGCAAAGGAAACTTGGCATGCTGAAAATGCTACTCACCTGGTCTCACAGCTTCTCTACCCAGAAGAATGCAGATTCCTGACTTTTTTATGACTTTCCTGATTTGCATACTAGCTGCTGGTCGGTTATAAGGAAGTACTGAATCCAGAGGGTTAGCATAACAGCCAAGGAGAAGGAGATTTCAATACGTGTTGCGTGCTATTTCAATACAGTTGCTGCACAAGTAGACTGCTTCTTGGATCACAGTCAGGTCCCTTTTTGTTTTGTTTTAATATTTGTATGTGTTGGATACATATTGTAAAGCTGTCATTTTGGGCCCCTGAATAATGTCACCCTGACATGTTGGGGTTGAATATGTTTGCGCCTTGATATGCCAAGTTCTTTTTTGAAACCTTCTGTGTCTTTGCAACCTCAATAACGCAGCCGACCACACTCCATCAATCCAGAAATAATTGCTTCTATTGTGTAGACAAATAATGATACTCGGCATTGTTTAATATTTGCTGGTATGGCCTTCTTGTCAATATTTTCGGAGCATTGTTTCAAGGGCAGCCTGTTTATTTGCACAATTGAACTGTCACATTAGGGCAAATTTATTAGAATAGATATGAACTCAGCTCCAATATCCAGTACAAAACACAGGCCGTTCTGATTGTTTCTTTGTTCTACATAAAAGATAATAATGCTTATTGTATTAAAGTCACGCGTGCCTTCTTGTTTGACGAATATGGCAGATTTACCAAGTCGGTCCGCGGGGCTTTTTGTGACGTTTTCTTCATTTTCCACCCTATTAAAGACATCCATTTCTTTCCAATAAAATCGGCACAGATCAGCAATTTGAATATTGACCACGAGCAAGAGAAAAAGAATTTCCTGCCTTTGGATGACTGTAGGAATTGTCATTCTGCCACCGAGAATATATGGTGACGGTGAAATAAAAAACTATACTGTTTACAAATCAGAGAAATACATTTATTTGTTGGGAAATGTAGAGTATTTTCAGCGGTATAACAATCTTTGAGTTATTATTGCAATTTTTAATATTAATACATTTGTTATGTGATTTTCATATGTTTGCAGGACCATAATTTCATATGTCGCCCAGATCAACAATTAAAGGACAATCAGTCTGTTACAATAACTAGACCTTGCTTAAATTGCTCTTTCTTTATAGTTCTGCCACACTCAGTACTCTTCTGGTCACAGCATTCTTGTCTTCATTATATGAACTATGTAAAGTGCTGCGTAAAT